CTGAGGCGTCATGGGACGCTGGCCCTGGGGAGTCATTGGTCGCTGGCCCTGGGGAGTCATTGGTCGCTGGCCAGGAGGAGAGTTGTTGCCGCGAGGAGGACCGCCGGCTGCCGGGACAGGGGGACGTCCCTGGGGCGGGCGAGGCTTCACTGGTCGGGTAGACAGACACGTGCGAGGGACAACACCCTGTCGGGACCTATCCAGACGGATGACAAGCGCCTGATAGAGCAGATGTTAGCAAATGCCGTTGCAACGAATATCTTACGAAGTGAAAATGTACTCACCCAGCCATCGTCGTATTCGTGGAGGAGGCGCACCAGGTCGCCGGCCTTGAGCTCCATTTCGTCCTCGAGGTTGGGCTTGAAATCCAGTTGCACGCGGTGGACAGTCGAGTTGGCAGGACCGCCTGCCGCGGCAATGGCGGCGGCACCAGGCGAAGGCGCGGCACCGGCGACGGGAGAGGCTGACGAGGCGCTGTAGTCGGTACCCACGGGGCTGGGGGGGACTGTGTCGAGGTTGGTGGCCACGGTCAGGTCCACAGGTGCCTTGGAGCTCTGGTTCCGGATCGACGTCTTGCGAGTCAGCGTCGCGGCTCCAGCAGCAACGACCGCGGCCGTGGTCGCCACGGCGGCAGCAGCCACGGCAGTCTCTTCAGCATTGGACACCTCGGGGCTTGGCGCCTTGTCGCTCACGGACGCGACGGTGGGCGAGTAGGGCTTGTACGTGGGACGAGCGGCGGGCGGATCCTGGACGGGAGAGGGAACACGCTCGGCTTGCTGGCCGAAGGGATTCGCTGGGTTGTTGCTCTGGCTGGTATCGGGGCGATCCGCGGCATAGCTGGTAACAGCAACGCCAACGGCGGCAGCCTCGGCTCCCTTGGCGGCCTGCTTCTCGAGGTCCCAGCCAAATTGGGAAGCGGGTCGGAGGCTGATGCGCGGCGCAACCGGGTTCGTGCGGACCACCTCTTCCTCTTCGACAGGTTCGGGTGACGGTGCTGGCGAGATCTGGGGTGTGAGTGCGCGGGCAACGGGCTGCGGCTGAGGCACCGGGGTCGGCTGATGCTGGACGGCAGCAACAGGGGTAACGGCAGCAACAGGGGCAACGGGGGCAACAGCAGCAGGAGGAGGCGTCACTTGGGCCTTTTCGTCGTCACCTGAAAGCTCTTCGCGCTCGGCCTGCTTTCTACGGCGGCTGACGAGGAAGAAGATGAGCAGTCCAACAACGAGCACACCACCGAGCACACCCAGGGCAATTCCCGCCTTGGCGCCGGCGCTGGTGCCGGAGCCGGAGCTGGAGTCGCTGACACTGCTGGGAGACGACACCGCAGCCGAGTCCAGTGTAGGTGTGGCAGAGGAGCTGTGCGCTCGGTTGCCGTCAACAGCCACCTTGGTC